CCTTGCTAAATATTCTCTCCCTTTGGCTCATTTGTCTCCTTAGCCTTTATCACCATCTGCACATGCGTAATACATATTTTGCTTATTTTCTTCTCTCCACACTGGAATTTAAGATGCATAAGAATAAGGACTTGTGCTTTAAAAAAAAAATTATTTATTTGTTACTGTGCTGGGTCTTCCTTGATGCACAGGCTTTTCTCTAGTTGCGGCAAGCTGGGGCTACACTCTTAGTTGTGTGTGGGTCTCTCATTGTCGTGGCTTCTCTTGTTGCAGAGCTCAGGCTCTCAGGGGCACGGGCTTCAGTAGTCGCGGCATGTGAACTCAGTAGTTGCGGCTCCCAGGGCTCTAGGGCACAGCTTCAGTAGTTGTGGCGCACAGACTTAGCTCTGTGGCTTGTGAGATCTTCCTGGATCAGGAATCGATCTCTTGTCTCCTGCATTGACAGGTGGATTCTTTACCACTCAGCTACCAGGGAAGCCTGGGACTTTTGCTTTATTCGTCACTATAACTCTCACTGAAAACTACTAGTACATAAAAGGTGCTCAATTAATATTTATTGATTGGTTGAATTAATTAATGTAGTCCTTGGAATATCCTGGAATAGATGCTTGCTGTTTAAATTTGCAGGGAGGTATAGGCAAGAATATCTAGTAGACAAACTGGAGCCCATAAAATGGTTTAGACTGGAAGATAGATTTAAGTGAAGCCAGGGCAGTGTCTCAGATAGTTTAGAGAGAGTGTGAAGATCTGAAGAGGACTAGGGAGGGATGGGATCCTGGAAGTACCTTCCAGGACTGACTAGAGAGTTACTCTGTCCTTAGAGTTATCCAGGGAGGAACCTTAGTCTGGGCCTTGTGCTTTAGAGGTCCTCATCTGGCCTTTTTCCAGCTATACCGCTCCTGAGAGGATGAGGATTTTGAGGGACTAGTCCATCTGGAAACCATTTCTAGATCAAGCTAAGAGTATTTGTATCCCCAAATTCCCTGTCCATGTGGTCCTTCACAGGTTTCTTCCCTGATTCTCTCCTCTTAGACCGTACCACATGTATGTATCTCTGGCCTAAGGGTTGGCCAAGTGGCAGCTGTTTGCAGGCATGTAGGCAGAGGTTAGAATGTTGTTTGGGATGTCCACATGTATATATATGAGGCTCCTTGTAGTACGGAGTAGAACCAAAGATGGGATGAGAAGAAGGCAGGCTGCAGGGCGGTGGGGAGTATGGTCTTCACATTCCCCATCCCCTTCCCCCAACTGATGTTGAGTCTGAGAATGCCAAATCAGAACTTAGCCTTTTAAGTTTTTATAAAAGTATATATGTCAAGATAGTGGGATAGAATAAAATTTACTAGCCTGTTAGTTTGGTCTATAGCTTTAAAATATTTAAGCATATGGTATATGGGCTTACATTTGTACTCTTAAAGTTCCTTGAAAACTAGGGGTGGGCCTGTAACAGGAAATTGAAAAAGAGTATCTGGAGAGGGAGAAGATAAATTCAAGGTAGTTTCAAGGAGGGTGTAATCAACAGTGTCAGATGTTTCAGAGACATTAAGTCCTATGAAGACAGAAATGTATCCTTTGGATTTGATAACCAGAATTAATAAAAATTTCATTTGGTGATGATGGATACCAAACTTCTGTAGAAATCAGAAAGTGGAGGCACAGTTTAAACGATTTTTTTTTTTTTTAAAGTAGAACTGTATCTGAGAAAGGAAGGAACTAGAGTGGTAGCTAGAGGGCTATGCAGGGTCAGGGAGGAGTCATGTTTAAGATGAGAGGGTCTTGACTTTCCTGGCGGTTCAGTGGTTAAGACTCCATGCTTTTACTATAGTGGGCGTGGGCACATGTTGTGTGGCATGGCCAAGAAATTAAAAAAAAAAGATGAGAGAGTCTTATAAATATTTGGATGTTGAGGAAAAGAACCCAGTGTTAAGAAAGAGAAAGATAAGGAAAAAGAAGGAATAATTGATGGAACAAGGCCTAAGATCCAGTGCATCTGTCAGCAGATCAGCTTTAGAAAACATAAGGGATATTTGAGGAGGCTTGGAGTGTTTGGATTTGTGTGAATGCTAACTTTTGAACAGTGAGCAAAAAAGTGAATGGCAGGAGAGTTTAACAGGCAATAATATATTAATGTTGTTCAGTAGTAGTTTTCTGGGTTAGTCTTTTTTTTATTATTTAAAAATTTGTTTAAATTTTTTAAATTAACTATTTTTTAAAATTGAGATTAGTCTTTTTAAACTTGATTTAGTACTCCGGGAGTTCTGGGGTTATACTTGCAGCCATGTGTTAAAATCCTCCGGTTGGTTGATTGAAATATAGCCCATAATGTGGGGTATAGCCTATGTATGTGGGAATCTGTTGTTATTCAGTAATTGTCATTTAGTGATGACTTAAAACTTTAAGTCTGTTAAAAAACTTTTGATTCTTCAGTAGCTTAGAAATAATTTATTATGTTCATTATAAAATGTGTGCCATTAGGCTTGGAGATGATTTGTTGTAGTAAGTACATATTGTCTGAATCACATCTATTTTGAATAAAATATTTTTAGTAGAGTTATATTAATACTGTATTTTCCCCCCCCATTAGTAGTTCCAGAGTACTGCTGGTTTATATTGTAACTCTTGCCAAGTTGTGAAACTAGTGAAGGATGCTTAGACTACTTAACATTCAAATTGTAAGTAAAATTTATTTCTGCTATTATTATCTGTATGATTAGAAAACAGAAATTGAAAATAATTGTTACCTTATGTGATAATAGTGAGATTCAGTGTGATGGGATTGAGGATTTCTCTTAGTTTTTATTCTTAAGATACAAATATTTCCTATCGCATTTTCTGTTGATAAGATCAAGAAGAAGACTAATAGTACTGAATGGGTCTTAGGTAGTGAGGTGAAATTTCTGCCTTTTTTCAGGAATTTTCTATTTACAGTAGAAGTTTATGGAAATTCTTTATTATTTTATTTTCATATTTAATATAGGATGTGTTTTTAATGGAACGATTAATTAGAAATGATTATTTTCTCTTTAAATATGCTTAGTTTTTTGTGTGTGAAATTTTTGTGTGAAAAATTCTATTAAAAAGCCCTGTGATTTCTTCTTTTTTTTTTTTTCCATGGAAAAAAACCCCTTGTTTATTTGATTAAACAAAAATAAAATAAGCTGCATAGGAACAATTTTAAAGTCCAAAGAGACACCAACTTTGTTTTAAGGCTGCAGTAGCTGATACATCATCTCCTTGCTACCTTGTCCAGCCTCCTCTGTGGACCACAGCGATACATTCAGAAGCCTGTTAGCTAACACAGGAGTTTTTGAACACTTTCCCATCGGTTCTTCACCTGCTCATTGCCTGTCATGCCTGAGGCCTGCAGTGTATCATTTAAAAGTAAAACTCCAGAAGGGAGGAGGAAAAAAAAAAACCCCACCCCAAACAAGAACCCACCTTAAAGGTCTGGGGAAAACCCTTCACTTCCCCTGTTCTCCACTTAATAGACAGGATCTACACCACCGCTGCAATGCCCATTTTGAAAAGTGTCAAGAGGCAGTCAGCACCCAGGAGGGTTTGCAGCATAGGTTTCTGTGGCCCAGGCAGTTAGTCTGGTGGTGCATATTCCTTACACCATGTCTGCCTTGAACAAATTAAAAAAAAAAAAAGACTTATCTTAGTCATTCTAATCTCAGGCAACATGCCCGTATTAATTTCTCCAACTTTGCATTTGCTTTTCTCACAAAAACAAAACAAAAAAAACCCTCAACCAAGCCATGTGTTCTACACTTTCAAATTTAAAGCATTTTGTTGACTGGGCATGACAGCTAATGGACAGTATTAAGCAAGATTCATTAAAAAAAAAAAAAAAAGCAACAACAACACTAACAACCCTCCCACCCACCCGAATATACCTAACATGCTAGTTAAAAACAACATCCCTTTCCCACCCACCCTCTCACCTGCATTGAATTGAAGCCCTGTGATTTCTTTGTGAAATATTTAATGTTCACAAAAATAAAATGTAACCTTTTAAGAAATAATCTAATACATAAATCAAGATGATGTACATATTGCCGTTCATCTCCACTAGGGGAAGAAAACTTGAATTATGTTTACTTGAAACCATTTGCTATATTGCATTTTGAACCAATAACAAAAAAGTTATTGAAGAAAGAGATAAAGTAATATTAAAGGCATTCCAAGTCATTTCACTACTTTATTTTCAAACTACTGTATTTGAAAGTATAAGTAACTCAAATTAATCTGTTTTACAGACCTTATAGAGTATACAAAATGTGAACACAAAATGAGCCTGCTACTGTAAGCAAAAGATAATTCTAGTTAGTTATTTATATACCTACATAAACAACATAAACATAAATTCATATACATAAACAAACCAAATGAGCCAAGGAAGACTGAAATATTTACAAACCAGTACATCTTTTAATTTGTTAAATAGGTGAATAATTCTAGAAGTTGTCTTGGTCCAGCACATTTTATGTTTTTAGTGCATAACACTTTTTTTTAAATTTCAGAAATTTTTACCAGACTATTTCAGGAGTAATAGTACATCTTCATAAGGGGAGAAAGTTGTAACATTTTATTTCTTAGAATGTAAACATCATAAGATCGACAATGTGCAATAATAGCTTGGTAAGAACTGCAGATTGTGAACTTGACTGCTCGAAGAGGAATGCTCATTACTGCCCTCTTTTGACACGAGCTGTATAAGCCTAGCTCTTTTTTTCTCAGTTTATAAAAATGTTAAAAAATTTTATTGCAAAATAGGTTTGTGCTTTATATCCTTGTATTTCTAAAAATAATTTTTCAAACTCTTCTTTTTAGGCTCTCTGGTTAATCATCTTAAGAAGACTGGATTTCTGGATATCAACCCTACTCCATCTCTATTGACTTTTAAAAGATGATAATGCAAACCTGTAACACTGACAATCATCCATGAACCTTTAGTTACAGTGATTGGTAGCGTTTGAAGCTTCCTCAGGGAGTAAACAATGACATCAGCAGTGGTTGACAGTGGAGGTTCTATTTTGGAGCTTCCCAGCAATGGAGTAGAAAATCAAGAGGTTAGCCATCCAATGTATTACATTTCTGTTTTGTTCATAAAATCAGTGCATGAACTAATGAACTTAATGGGAAACAGGTATTTGAGAGTAGAAATGTATAGTGCATGAGATTGTATATCTCTGTCATGTGTCCTCATATAATTAGGTACTAGAAAGTTGAGGGAGGTAGTGCTGGGCCTGAGTGGCCTGAGTTGTTGGAACTTCCATATCTTGGATGAAGTAGGAGGGAAAAAAGAAAGAAGACAATAGTATTAGTTGAGAAATAAATGTAAATCTCTGATAAAATCCATTGTTTTGGATTTTAGAGTATATAAGTAAATACTGCACCTAAATACTGATATTTTATTCATCTTACTTTAGAATTTTGTATCTCTTTTTGTTGTTACCTTTGTCTTTTGATTGTTCTAATTCATGTGAGAATCCATTGTATTTTAACTACGTATTATTTATACTTAAGAATTTAGATAATATTTAAATAAGAGTAACTCGGTTTTGAAATTTTATACTTGAAGAATTTTGGAATGTTAGTGTATTTGTTTTTTTGTTATTGTTGTTGTCGTTATTGATAACATTAAAGAATAAGAGATAGGAGTAGAAAACAACAGTACCAGAAATACATGGACTTTGAGGGCCTGGCTTTTATTCCCAACATTTGGTAAAGACTGACTATTAGGAATTATCTAAATTAAAATATAATAATACTGTCACAACAATGGTCAAATATTTGGCCAGAGATAAGATGGGAAAATAGAGGAAAAAAGTTTGTTTTTTCTACATTCTGTGAAAGATACTGCTGTTACTGGTACTTAGTATTACATCTGAGATACAAGTTAGGATGTCAGACTGTGTGTCTGGATTCTGGCGTCTGGATTCTTTTTCTCGCTTGCTTGGTGTCTCTTCAGTCTTCCGAGGTAGCTATGGGCAAATTCAGTGGGTTTGTTTTCAGTGGACTTGGTAATTGAAATATTCCTGTTGTATTTGAATCTAAAACTGTTTGAAAATCTACTAAGAGAAACAAAGGTAAAGAACATGTTTTATTTTCATAATCAATTCCTACTTCCTTCTTGAAATTTCACTTTCTGTATGATCTCTTCCAAGTATGATTCATCCAAGAAATGAGGGACTCAGGATTTCTGTCCCGCCAATATCATCCAGTACTTGCTTCTTCAGGTACTTTCTTTTTGCCCCGTGGTTTTACTTTGTTGATATTAATTCTGTGGGGGAAGCTGCTAAGAACAGTTGGCAGAATATATTTACCTTGTGGTGACTGGGTACCACCATTATGGGAAAATGAATAGAACACTTTGTTTCTGGAAGACTCTCTATACCTCCCTTCATTTACATGGAATCCCATGTGTTCACGGCTTGACAAACTGATTATTACCAAAGAAAGAATCTGACAAATGAAAATAATTTTGCCAAGACATTATTGACTAATGATTTATGCAGTATTCTTAAAAGGTGGTCATAGGCATTTTAGGAAGAGTGTCACCAGAGAGGAGGAAACTGTTCTCGGGAACTTTTTCTTCACATTATATCATGTGGATGCCTACTTACTTTCATTTCATTTATTCCTTCAACAAACACTAATTGACCTCTTACTGAATGTCAGTTACTTTTTTAGGCACTGGGGATAAAATATTTCAGAATGGCTGTGAAGAATAAATCAGGGCTAGAGGTAGATAGAGAATTGGTAGGATATTTTGATTAGAATGGACAAGGAAGGCTTCTCTGAGCAGGTGGCATTTTAGTGTCGACCTAATAAATATCATAAGGGATTGAGCTGTAGAAACACCTGGGGAAGAAAATTCCTAGAAGAAGGAAAAGCCACTAGTATCTGTAATATTTCCTAAGTTTTTAAAGTGAGTTTTGGAGATAGTGGTATTTGAAAGATAGAATTTTGTCTTATAAGCTACTATTCAGGAATATATTTATAATATATATATACTACTTATACTTTAAAATGTAAGGTGGGGTGGGAAAAAAATGACCTTATTACCTTAACTTCAGAATCTGAAGAAAAAATAAATGTTTAAAATATGATGGGCAACACATTTTAAATCAATTATACCCCAAAACATTTTTTTTTAATTATTAAAAAAGTGGGCATTTGGAGACTTACTAGTGATGCTTAGGCTTTATTTCTCATAATTTTATTCTTGATTATGCTTTATATAAATGTGTTTTATAAAATTAGGATAATTCTATTTCTGACAAAGCAAAAAAGTAGACTGTAATCTTATTAATGAGTGTGGATGTAAAAATCATAAATAAATTAGTAATACATTTATAAAATAGTCATATATTTAAAAATCCAGTTACCAAATAGGATGTAGATACATAAGGATAATCCAATTTTAAGAAAACTATTAATATAATATATATCCCTACTAATATGACATGTGATATAGTGGTTAGGATAAAATACTTGATGAAATAGAATTTTATGAAGTTAAATATCCTTCCTGATAAAAACCCTAAATAATATAAGTGTGTATTCCCTTAACATTATTTAAAAAAATATATAAATCAAGAGCTAGAATCCTATTTAATGGTAAAATTCTGGAGTATTTTCTTTGAAATTGGAGAGAAAGTCAGTATGGGAACTACTATTATTTAATATTTTCCTGTAATCAGACAAAATAATGAAAAAAACATATAACTACTAAAAAGGAGACCAAATTGCTGTTTATAGGTAATATGAGTCATCACCCAGGAAAACCAAGGGGAAATCCATGAAAACCCATTATAACTAATAAGAGTGCCTAATAGTTTGGTGGGTACAAAATTAACATAAAAATATCTTGCTTTCTTTTAAGGACTGTAATTAGCTAGAAAAAAATCATGGAAATAAACTATTTCAGAAAATTAACAAAAATGTATAAAATGTTGAGGAATAAAAGTAAAAGATATGTAGGACTTGTTTGAAGCAAACTAATTAATGACACTTAAGTAGACTTTAATAAACAAAGAGATATAGTTTGTATTTGGGTAAGAGAAATGGGAATGGTCAGTATTGTGGAGGATGTCAGTCCTCCAATTAATCTATATATTTAATTCCATCTCTATCAGATGTTAGGGCCAGTTGGGAGAAATTGATCATATGGGCCTAAAGATTGTATGGAAGAATAAACATAGAGGAGTAGCCAGAGCAGTTTTTGAGAAGGAAATACATAGCAGGTAGGTCTCATAGAAATGGGGAATTAATGCAGAAAAGATAAAAAAGGGTTTAGGTATATTTAAAAAACAAAATGAATGCAAGTTTTAGAGAGCATCTGCTTCCAGACAAAGAAGATTGAGACTTCTTCCACTTCAGGTTGTGATGGAACAACTGAAACCAGATTTGTACTCCAACCATAAACAACTAGGAAAATGAACAAAACATATGAACCCACAGTTTTTATTTGTGCTATGGTCTTGAATGTTTGTGAACCCCTCAAAATTCATATGTTGAATCCAAACTTCCAAAGATGATTATCGTTAGGAAGGTATTAGGAAGTAGGGCTTTAGGAAGGTGATTAGGTAATGAGGAAGGAACCTTTATAAATGGGGTCAATACTTTTATAAGAGGCTCTAGGGAAAAAAAAAAGGCTCTAGAGAGACCCCTTGCCCTTTCAGCCATGTGAGAACAAAAGAAGTAGTCTGTGACTTGGAAGAAGGCCCCCACTCAGTCATTCTGGTACCCTGATCTTGGATTTTCAGCCTCCAGAACTGTGAACAATAAATTTCTGCTGTTTTTCAGTCACCTGATCTGGTATTTGTTATAGTAACATGAATGGATTAAGACAGTTGGACCACAGACAGTGCAGGACTGTTCTTCCTGAGAAACGATTGCACTGGCTTACTGCTTGGACCTACTTTCTGGACCAAAACATGGGAAGGAGAAATCCAAGCAGAATGTGACAGTCTCACTGTATCGAGGAACCAAAATTCAGAATTTGGAGAGGCTAATGCAACTAAAAATGGGAAAACAATGGAATAGGTGGGGAAACAATGGAATAGATGGGGAAACATGGAAATAATGCAACTAATAGATAGGAAAACAAATAGATGGGAAAACTGGAAACAGTGACAGACTTTATTTTTTTGGGCTCCAGAATCACTGCAGATGGTGATTGCAGCCATGAAATTAAAAAACACTTGCTCCAAAAACAAAACAAAAAAAAAAAACACTTGCTCCTTGGAAGAAAAGCTATGACGAACCTAGACACCATATTAAAAAGCAGAGACATTACTTTGCCAACAAAGGTCCACCTAGTCAAAGCTATCGTTTTTCCAGTAGTCATGTGTGGATGTGAGAGCTGGACTATAAAGAAAGCTGAGTGCCAAAGAATTGATGGTTTGGACTGTGGTGTTGGAGAAGACTCTTGAGAGTCCCTTGGACTGCAAGGAGATCCAACCAGTCAATCCTGAAGGAAATCAGTCCTGAATATTCATTGGAAGGACTGATGCTGAAGCTGAAACTCCAATACTTTGACCACCTGATGCAAAGAACTGACTCATTGGAAAGACCCTGATGCTGGGAAAGATTGAGGGCAGGAGGAGAAGGGATTGATGGAGGATGAGATGGTTGGATGGCATCACCGACTCAATGGACATGAATTTGAGCAAAGCTCTGGGAGTTGATGATGGACAGGGAAGCCTGGCATGCTGCAGTCCATGGAGTGGCAAAGAGTCAGACATGACTGAGCGACTGAACTGAATGCGGCTAATTTGAGGGGCAGGGTATCTGAAAGGTAGAACCTGCCCAGAGGAGGAACACAGAATTCAGCCTTTGGTTCCCCTAGTCTTTAGCTGAATGAGCTCCCAGGTATAGTAAGAAACTCCATGAAGCCAGGTAAAGGATGATCAGAAAGGTGTAAACTCAGGAACCTACTGAAAAAAATCTACATAGTTCACTCAGGGCTGGAAGATGCTAGAGTTTCAACCAGTTGGAAAAGAGAGTTTTTGTTAACTGCCCAGGGCCCTCATTAGAGATTCCAGAAGGGTCATGCCTGTAT